TGGACGGTCCGTCCGTGGGGCCGCAGGGCAGTGCAGGCCGTGGTGCGGGACGCTGAGCACGTGCTTTCTTACGTGACCATGTGAGCTGTCCTTTTGTGGCTGTTGATGGTGTTTCCTGACTCAGGCTGCCACGCTTAAACCTATCGTGTTTTAATATTAATTGTTTTGAGTCACTTTCAGGTGTAAAATTTGGCTAAGGCTTTCATTTAAAAATTGTTCAAAGGCTGTTTTAAAAGTTTCTAATCACTGCTTTAAAAGTGAGCATGCTCAGCTGGGCTAGTGCTTTCCTGGCATCGATCTAGATTTTGTAGCCTGAACAGCACTAGCATTTCCCCTTACCCAGTGACTGAAGATACCAGTGACTCCAATTAGAATTGCACTCTTGTTTACAGCCTTGGCCTTATTTGTAATTATTCTATCCTGGTAGAACTGTTAAAAAGGCAACTATGATAAGGTAGTTCCAGAATCTTTCAAAGCAAGAAATGTGTGCTTCTCCTGTTCTAACCCTGCTCATGAACTGCATGAGTTGCCCAGAAAGCTCATCCATTTTTTATTCTGTTTAGAGAGTGTAAACATGATTGGGTGATCAATTGCAAAATATCCTTGTATGGTTTTCAAGGATTCTGATCTTCAAAAGCATGATTGTCTTCGCTTCAGAGTTGTGATGCAGGGCACTCCTCAGGGAAGTCCCGAGCTCCCTCTCCTGTTTCTCATTTATTCCTATTTGCCGGGGTTATTTTTTCCCCAGTCCTTACCTGAGGATATGTTTTTGTTGATTTTAGAGAGCGAGGAAGGGAAAGAGAGAGGGAGAGAGAAGAACATTGATGGGTGCCTCCCGTATGTACTCCAACCCGCAACCTGGGTCTGTGTCCTAGGAATCGAACCTGTAACCTTTTGGTGCCAGGACGGCGCTGGACTGAGCCCCCAGCGGGCTGTGCTTGCGCTTTGGGCAGAGGAGGAGCAGCAGGGCGTGCTCTTGGGAGGCAGCCTCGCCTTCCAGGTGCAGGGCCCGAGGCGTGACCCTGCCACACAGGTGCCAGAGCCACTTCCTGGCTCTGTGGCGAGGCAGGGCCTCCGAGTCCAACCTGAGCAGCGCGGGTGGGGGCCTGCTTATCGCGGGCTCGTGGGGTGAGGAGTTAGTGACAGCAGGAGCGGCTCCAGCGGCTGTCCATTGTCTGGGAGGGAAGGTGTGCACTCTTGCCAGCCTCGTCTCCATTTTAACGTGATGGTCACATCTTTGGTCTAAAATCTCACTGATGCTATTTTTCTAGGCTCTTGGGATGCTCTTTTGGCACAAGCATAACATTGAGAAATCCTTGGCTGATTTGCCCAACTTTACCCCCTTCCCAGACGAGTGGACTGTGGAAGACAAAGTCTTATTTGAGCAAGCCTTTAGTTTCCACGGGAAAACTTTCCATAGAATCCAACAGATGGTAAGTAGATGAGACCCGAGGGCCCCACCCCCCAAGCGCACCCAGGGGCAGGGGTATCTAGCACTGAGGCAGGAGGCCTCATTCCAGGAAAGCTC